TCAAGTCAGAGAATGAAGGTGTCTCAAAAGAGAGAAAAGCAGCAACTGGAAAGCCCCAAGGAATAGGCTCGACTTTCATTTTGTTCTTGTCCTATAAACCTAAAATCCTTGACAAATCTTCCAAATCTGCCACAAATGTGGATCTCTCAGATGAGTTTTCAGTATTTGACTTTTAAATATGGACATATAGATGGCAAGAAATACTGGGCCTGGGCTCCCGGGAATGAGGATGAGTGATTAGAGGCTATGGCTACGGACAGCAGTGGGCTGCATGGGAGAGATCCATGGAGGTCCCCTGGTGGCTGCTGTCCAGCCAGCACACAGAGGAGAAGCAGGACAAAGAGTCCAGGAAAAATGGAGCCATCAAGAGCACTTATATGATGGTACTTTGGGGGAAATGGAATCATTTTAGAAAGATATTGCATTAAAAAAAAAAAAAAGAGAGAGAGAGAGAGAATGCAACACTCCAGACAGGTGTTTAAGAGAAGCAATGTATGTATGGTATATTACTGGGCTCAGGGAACAAATGTACAAAGCCATGATAGTGCAAAAACTAAAAAAGTTTTACCAAAAGTACTTGTAAAACCCGACTGGGAGGATATGAGAAGGCAGACAGGGTATAAGAGCTAAAGCTTCATTTCTTTCTAAAAGGAAGTAAATATAGGCCATATTTAAAGTGGTAAGCTAAGACAGCTGTCTATAAGCACATTAACTAGAAGTGGAAGGTTTTCTAGCTGCCCAAAGAATACAAACGAATTGACTGCATCTGGGGTGTGGGCCTGAAGGGTGGGAGGGGCAGGCCAAGAAATATTTCATGCATTATAAATATTCTGATGTTATTCTCTTTTAAAAAATTACCATGTGGATGTAGTACTTTGAGAATTTTTTGAAGTATATAAATATACATTCTCAAACATTCCCTGAAGTCCGGAATCAGGAGGTCTGGAGTCATAGGAATCTGCAGTGTTAAAAAGCTTACCACGTGATTCTGACAAAGCTAGTCTTGTCCTCCACTTTTACAAAACCGACACTGTGGCAGCAGTCTGTATAAGAGCAGTACCATTGATCTGCTGCACCGAAGAAATGCCAGGGACTGAAGAACCCTAAGATGCTCCTCCAGGGCCCTTGCCTGTGATCTTAGTAGGGAAATTGGTAAACACCTTAGAAGAGCCAGTAAAAACTAACAGACTGTGGGTGACTTTCTATTCCTCCCCTGTCTGGGAGGACTTCGTGGATAGGTCAGGTTTCCTGGCTCCTATCTGGGCTGCAAACCAGGAGCCTTGATTCAGAAATTAGCCTGGGGAAAAAACACGAAACCTCACAAAGTGAGGGAAGCCTTTTAACTGAAGGATGTTAGATAAACATCTCTTCCACTCTGTGGCTTCCATGTAAGTCATGTCACATCAAACTTGATTTTTAAAAGACTTTAAAGAATGTTAACAGGGTCTCTTGTGCCTGATGGCGGGGACGGGTAGAATACTTAATAATCAGAAGGTAGATGTTTCCTGGGCATCACAGTAATTTGTTCTGAGAAACCTTCTCCTGGAACATAATAGAACCATTGAGAATCAACTCAATTAGTTGTCAAAAACCAGCCAGAGGCACAGTACCCTCGTTTATTCCTGTCCTGTATTTCTCCCCAGGAGTCAGGGCCAATGGAGAAAGAATTCTTCAAACGCCCTGGTTTCTCTTCTGCAGGACCCTGGGTCAATCTTTCAGCCCAGTGGATTTTTCTTCATATCCACGCAAACTATTGACAGCTTTCTCTAAATTAGAGATCACCTACAGCTAGAAAAGTTGACTAAAATGTTTTCATGCATATGTCAGTGTCAAATGAGATGGGGCACTTTTAAACTGCGATTTATCTTTTAAATCTATTGTGTCTATTATTTTTCTTAGGTCTTGAAGTTTACTTTAAATAAGAAGTCACTGCAAAAGAGGAAAATACTTTTAACCCTAACAGGACCTTTTTAAAGAATTTCATCTAGCAACTGGAAAGCTGTTTTTTTTTTTTGCGTCAGTGGTGAGTTATCTAATCCAAATATCATTTACTGGGCTGTATTATAAGAGACTAACTAAGAATTTAGCATGTGTAAATTTTACTTCTTCATGTACAAGGGCAACCATCCACCCATCCATCCAAGCACTTATTGGTCCACCTACTATACGCCCAGTGCTACTTTAGGTTCTAGAGGTACATAAGTAAACAACCTCAGTCTTGAAGTTCTGTTCAATTGCCTGAGAAGTCTTGAGAATGGTTTTAGATAGAGGTATATGAGAATTGGTGATACTTTGGTTTTTTGATGATATATGACCATGTATCATTCTTTGATGCCTGATCATCTTTATCACCCGTGACTGTCATTTTGCTACGCATGTCACTGTAACACACGCTGAAGATGAAATGCTAAAACATTACCATACATGTGGCGGCATGGAAAGCTCTGTCCAGGTCTTTCCTGTGATCCCCCCTTTCATGTGCTACTTACTGCCTCTTGTAACAGCCTCCCCACCAGTCCACTAGCAAACATCTCTTCATCATCTGAAACCCAGACACCATCCTCTGAGGGTTCCCTCACACATCTCCCCCCAGAATTCATTCACTTCCCCTGTATTTTTTCTCTATATAAATACATAGTTTTATTATTGTATTGGTACAGTCCTTAACATACCACTGTACACTTCTTGAGGGTAGAAACACCAGTCTCTTCAGTTTTGCATCCTTATGAATTAGCAAAATGTCTGGCACATAACAAATATCCTCTGACTGAACCTAAGCACTATTCCTCCATGTAACTTGTAGAATGTCATAGAACTGTGTTCACATTTGTTTCTAAAATCATCTCAGAGTTAGAGGGAAACATTAAAATTTTTTTACTATGTAATAAACATTGCATTTTGTTCTAAAACTTTTTTCCAACAAGGGGAATTTCCATCCCTATAAAAGCCTAGTAACATTATATAGTTAGTGACAAGCTTTTCTTTTTAAAAATTTCTGTTGCTGACTCCCTCACTGTCCTGATCTTGCCAATATCATGGTATTAGAGATTCATCATGCGGTGTTGCTATTGCTTTTTCAGATGTCTGCAGCCCTTCCTACAAGTGAACTCTGTAAGAGCCAGGCTCATATTTTCCATTTTTGCAGCCCTGGTGCAAGATAGTGATCACTACACCAGGTGCTCAAGACGTATTTGCTCAGTGCATCAACAGAAGACTACACAGGAGACAGTGAATGGATTTAAATCCCTGGTTCTCCTCCGCCACTAGGAACTTCTTTGTGATTTTCTTTAATGAAGAAAACCTGTGGAATTCTAAATAAAGCCTTAACTTTGTTGTTGAATAATGCTCCTGAGATTGTGTAGGTGTGGCAAATTAATAACACGAGTAGGAAAGGAAAAAGATTTACTGTACAAATATTTTTACTTTATTTTGTCTTTTAAATATACACTGAGAGAAGTCTTTTCTAGTTTTGAAACATGGAATACTGGGTTGGATCAGAGAAAGATAAATAGGTCCTTTATTCAGAAAAGAAATAGATTTGCCAAGTTTTCACTGAAGTTCAAAACTCTAGGGATGCTTTTCTTTCTTCTAAACTGCTATTAATCCCACAATTTTCTTCTGTTCTAATAGGATAATTTTAATCAATGTTTATGGGGTCTTTTTGGTAGCATAAAGGTGTGGATGCCTAGTAAAATATCACCAGACGAACAGGGGTGTTGGAGACTATTGCTCATGTAGAAAAGTATGTATCTGTGATTGTTACAATAGTAGTGTTTGCAAAATGTGGTTAGCTTTGAAACTGCATCTGAATTTTTAGGAGATGTATATATACATGTATATCATTGTCACTCATCATCCAATGGCAGAGATTAAATGGACTTGGGCACCATGTGAAAAATTACTTGTGCAGAAATTGTTTCATAGATTATAATATAGCATTGGTGATTGTTAAAACTACAAATGTCAGATGAAGACCTCAACTTTATGTTGTTCCTCTACACACAAACCCTTCAAAAACTCATGAAGATCAGTTCCTAAGTATGTAGGTCAGAACTTTCCCCCCAAAAGTAATTCCATAATTTGTATATCTTACTAGTACCCTTTGACTTTATAAAGTTCATACTTGAAATTAAATCAATGTTGTGAAAAATGTAAAAATGGTGATAGATCATATTTCTTTGCAGATATAATTACTGGACTATATAATACTCTAAGGCATGTTAAAAATAACACCACAAAATTCTTGAATCAGCAGAAGCTGTGCTGAATCTTGTGCAGAAGCCCAGATTCAATTTCTTCAGATAAGGAAATTAATATTTATAAGTTATAGGACTCATTCAAGGTCATGGGGCAGGCAGGGGAATTTAAAACCAGTCCTAGTTCATTACTTTTTTTCTATACTCTGTGCTCTTTTCATATTTTACCTTTTCCTGCCCTTAACAATTTGCTTCTCTATTTCCATGTGAAATTAATTTCAATTACAATTTAGATGGATATCCAAGTAATTATATATGAAATTAATTTGTAAGGACTAGAAAAAAACCCATATATTAAAATATTGTACGGAGACATAGAAAGACTAATGCCATTTAAAGATTTTCTCTGTGAGCACGAGAGAGGCATGCATCTTTAAATATAACCTGGGCAACTTAGCATGAGAATATTATAAGATTAATATAGATTTTAAAATACCAGTGGTTGAATGTAAGTCAGAAAAATGGGAAATGTTCATCACCTCTCTGAGAAGGAGGTCTGGAGATAAATTTAAAAATTATCAATCTCAAGATTGTGACAGTGCGTGCAGCAATCACAAGGGACAGTCTGAAGTAGGAGGAAAGATAGTTTGCAAAGTTGTTTCCCAATTATTTCAACTCAATACAGTTAGGGGACTACAACTTGTGATCTTCTGACCTTTGAACTAAAAGCACTAATGCAGCTCCATCCGTTCACCGTGAGAAAAAGATGCGCAAAGCCCTGTTCTCCAGCACGGAGGAACTCACCCGTTTCCATTTTTCCGTCCTGTGCGGCAGGCCCGTCTGGAATCACACTTTTCACCTGCAGAAACTCATCAGGCTCATCTCCCCCAATGATGGTAAATCCAAAGCCCATGCTGCTCTTTCTTAGGGTGGTGCTGAGGAGCGTTCCCTTCAACTGTGATGCATCCCGGGTGAAGAGCGGTTTTTCTGCATGGGCCGATGCAAGTTAAAAAAAAAAAAAAAAGTGTATTTAAGGCAAGTTGTCAGGCAAAGCAAACAAGCAAACAAAAAACTGGCCACTGAGCAGTAACCCCAGGCGTGGGTGTGGGGGTCTTGTACCATACGTGCCAGCCCAGGTGATTGCAAGAGGAGCTTCTGACAGTTACAGAGCAGTCCCAAGCATCCAGGCAAGAGGAAAGGCTGCTCAGCTCGGGGAGCGACTCTTTGTCAAGCCATCATTTCCATTCGCTATGTTAGCCTTCCTGTGTTTAACAAGGGTTGCATCAACAGGGTGCCAGAGCCCTCAAGTGAAGAGGACAAGGAGCCCAATATCCAGACACATCTGACAACGTTCTGCTCCTTGCTATGAATGATCCCAGGCAAGAGGCATGTATGTTAGAGTGGCCCAGACTGCATAGAACCTTGAAGAAATAGGAGAAGAAAACATCACAATGGAGTGTTTTGCTTGTTGCTTTAAAGAGAATAACAGCACAGCACTTAGGCACCGTGCAAGTGTCACAGGCAAAGAAGCAGTGGCAATGTGACCACATATCCTAAGGTCCCAGTTGTTCAGAAAGAGTGCCTGGATGTGAGTCCGAGGAAATGCTAGTTTACAGCCCTAAGTCATGAGATGCTATGAAGGATGAAAACCAGATAAACAAAATGGTGTTCTGCGTACTCTAATGTGTGCAAAGACAAGCTGCTACTTCTAGACATAATTATGAATGGAAAGGTAACACATTTTTAACAATATCCTGACAACTCAAATCCTATGTCTAAATAATCAAAACAGAACTTGAACCCATGCAAATAGTTGGACAGCCAATTTGTTATGTGGTAGGTTTTCCAGCTATGATTTGCAATAAATATATTTCCAAGCATATTTAATGCTTTAAAAATAACAGGCGTACGAGGAAACAGAATTAGCATCTCCTCCAAATCTCACCTCAGATGGGTATTTTATTTGATCTTTCTTTAGTTGTTGCTTTGGAGTGATTTGATGTGTGGTATGTGGTAACTCAGGTATTTCGTACGACACTTTTGACATATTGGGGTGATGTATAATAAACTGTAAAACAATGAGACGTGGAGTTTTACTTCATCTGTCGGCTTCCATATCACATTTAGCTTTATTAGAAACAGAACTTCTTTGAAATATAAATGGAAAAGAAGCCACACGTAATCTCTCCTCCATTTATCAGACTTGTCCCTTAGAGACCTTTGCATTCATGTGATATACACCATCATGCTGTTCCATGTGGTGACCTTGTCGTCAGGCTCCTGACTCCAGAGCCTCTTTTGTTTGTTTTTTTTTAAATAAGCAGAAGCCATAAGCCGTGAAAAGTGTGTGCCTGTCCCATTCTGCGACTCCCAGCCTCAGTCAGGTCTGCATGTGGCCTGGGGACCTACCGAGTGGCCAGGGCCTCCCCACATGGATGCGCCGACAGAAAGACAAATCACTCAAACTGCAAGACCTCTCAGGGACAACGCAGTGACGGGTGGATTTGGGCCTAGGTAATGTTGCGGCGGAGCTGCCTACTGTCACAAAGGAGAACAAGCCTTATTCTTGTGCTTGGTCTTCAGAGGACAAACTTATAAGAGTCTGCTTCTCTGCAGTGTACAGTGCAACTGTCACAACCCACCAGGGCCACTGGCAGAGCGCTACACTTCCCTGGAAGGGACTCCCAAGGCTTTCTCTAATCTCTGGGCACAGCTGTGTTAGTTGGGGAATACTGCAAACCCCCAGCTAAAGCCAACCCAAAGGACTGAGGCGAGCAAAGTAAGTATTTGAAATGGCACTGGCCAAAGCAGAGAGTTTGTCACACAATGTCCCCTTGCACACCGCATGCAGGCGTATACAGTACCTCGGAAACCTGGGGCCTGCAGGGGCTTGGTTCCAAGTTCTGTGTGGGGCATGTTATGCTGCTGCAGCTTCCTTTTTGCTTCCAGGACAGGGTTTTCGAACTGTGTTCTTCTATTTATGTGGCTAAAAAAAGAAAATTTCAAATGAGGATAACAGCAGCAAAACATCACTGAAGAGAATATACGGATGCTCTACATGGAGCAGGTGATGAAAGGACACCATATCTGACTACAGCCAAGTGCCTCACCCAGCATGCAGCCAGGCTCCTGATGGGGTGGACTGTGCCCAGTACACGTGCCTGCTGCCAGCGCAGCATTCTCAATGGTTGCACCTTGCTGCTGTGTTCACATTATGCATGATTCAGCCAACAGAATCCAAATGTGACTGCTTCCTGGTCTACTGTGTCAGGGTGAGATGGGTCTGATGGGTTCACATAGATGATCAACCAGTGAAATTTATACTAAGTAGTATTGAAGAATATCATCTTAGCTTTGCAAAATCCTTATCTTGGATAGGATAAATATGAAGTAAACTCGGTTCATTGATGGTAGAATAATCAGAGCTCATACTTTTTAGAGTCAGACCTGGAATGAAGGGCTGGGATCCAGGAGAAAGGTTGTCAACTTTATAAAGGAAAGTTACAGAATACCGATGAACAAGAGATGCTGAAATGCATCAGCCGTGGATCATCCACAGTTTACATGGCGAGATGGCAAACTTGTAAATATCAGAGAGAAAGTGGTAGAAGCAACTGTAGCCCAGGTAACCTGAAGGTGTATTCCTGCATAGCAGCCTGTGTAAAAGTTAGAGTTTCTTGTCGGGGAGAGGAGAAACCAAGATTCCCGCCTTGTGGTGGTGGCCACGTTACACTTTCTCTAGAACATAAATGGACACGGAGAGGACTGGCATAGATATTAATTTTGGTCCCTTGTATAAACAGATTGTGCTGTGAAAGCATGAAGAGGAGAGACAGGTTAGAAAAGGAACTGGCAGTTTCCAAGTACTTAACTCTATGCCACTTACAATATATAATATTCTCAGTTAAGCCTCAGAACAACACGGTCCTGAATTCTAATCATCCCCATTTTAAAGGCAGTGAGATGGACACACAGGGAAGTTAAATGACTTGTTCTACATGCCCAGGAATTGGGAATCTGGGATTTGACCATCACATCTATTTCTGTTTCTATAAGTGATCTCTTATCTATGTATTTTCTCTCTTCAACGTATGATCTCACGTTGGTGAGAGCAGGTATTTTGCTTGTTTACACACACGCATGCACATGAACATTCCTTATGTGTTCTAATAGCACACATCAGAAAGGAGATGGGGCTGGGGGTTTAGCTCAGTGGTTTCACTGCCTGCTGTGCAAGCACAAGGACCCGAATTCAATCCCTGGTACCAAAAAAAAAATAATAATAAAATAAAGGAGATGAAAGAAGCAAAAGTGCCACAGACAATTTTCTGTTATTATAATTCATGTACTATCTGGTGAGACAAAATGGTTGCAGGAAGCATGATACGCAGATTGTAGTATCTAGTCCCTTCTTCACGGGAGGCTGGCCAGGACAGCTGTCTGTCACCTCAGCTCTGGACTTAAGTAGGCTTGCATTCAAATTCCAGCTCTACCACTGGCTCAGCTGTGTGACTCCAGGCAAGTCACCAACCCTGGCTGTCCTGTATGTCCCCAAATTCCCTCCCTAAACTCTGCCGGCCCAGCCCGAGTTATGGTCTTTCCCCTGTGGAAGATAAATAGTTAATATAGGGCCCTATTTTGTTATTGAAGCTATGCTATAAATTAGCTTTGAGCTTTTAAGGTGTCAATTCAACCAAAGAGAAGAGCCCCTCAGACTTTCCAGAATATTTAAGAAGCCAAGCCAGTTGTTTAGAAGGACATAGTATTCCTGTCATTAAGTCCTAGGAACTATATCTTCCCAAATCTCAGAAATCCTAAATAATAGGACCACAGTAAGGAATTTCATGGTCTGTTCTAACCTTACCCAAGTGTATTAGCGGTTGATTTGCATCAGTTCATCAATGCATTGATTTTCCCTATATCATGGACATCTATGTACAGGAACCATGTGTTACTCATCTTTGTATCACCCGACAGAATGAAAGATGATAATTTTTATGAAGTAACTAAATGATGAATGTGTTAAGAATTTTGTTTCCAGATACATGTCAATAACTTCAAAAAGACAAGAATTATCTTCCAAGTATGCCAAAGTACCAGCATTTCTGATTTCCAATCTGTTCTAATTCTGTTCTGCTAGTTCACCATTCATCACACGTATAACTTTATTCTTAGAAAAATCTAAGAATTCTTTGGGATACATATGATAAAGTCCCTCCAACTTGGCACCTGCATGTAAGTATTTCCTTCAAAAAATCAATGAGTAACCATATGCTTTATGGACACTTGGAAATATTCACTTTTCCATCAAAATGAGTTTCTAGAGTTCATGGAGAATGAAAAATACCAAGAACTAGTTTGGCATGGGTTCTACCCTATAAATAGTAGAATTAGTTGCCCTGTGCTAATTGCTATAGAACTACCTGGGTAGATTTAGTTGCCCTGTGCTAATTGCTACAGAACATTTACACTGTCCCAAAAGATGTCATTCCTCTAAAACCTAAAATACTCCCACTGTCTAAAAAAATCTCACAATGTCATAAGAAAAAAAAAAAAAAAGAAATGTCATAAGTTGAACAGAGAAGACTCATCTTTCTTATGCTTACAAATTGGAGGGATTTAAGTCCTTTTAGCTAGGATTTGGTGGTCTTACCACATGTACCAAGGATGTGAGAGACAGATGTCATCTTCTTGTTCATTACTTAGTCTCTGAGTTAAGTACTGTTTCATCTAGCTTCCATGTAAAACAAGAACCTGGGAATCTACTAAGTTCTAGGCCTTTAATCACATCAGCCTTTAATCACAATCAGTCTTTTGTCATATTTTACTCTTCAGATATTAAAAACTAAGGACACAAGATCCATATTCTGAAGTGGGCATATTCTAACAACTCCATTTCCCTTACAGAAGGGTAAAGGCCACGGATATGAGAAGCTTCGATGCTGGATGGTAAAGGCTTCAGGGTATTCAAGGGTGAGATTCTGCCACCTTCTCTCTTTGCCCTTCCCTTCACTCCTCTGCACCATGAGATGAAAACTCACAATCGTATGTATATGGCAGTGTCCTCAAATTTTGGATTCACCTGGGAAGACTGAAGAATTAAATAGTCCAGATGACTCAGGCTAGTTCTCCAAATCAACTGATTCATACAGAATGGAATACAGGTATTGATATATTTTTGAAACAGCTTCCAAGGTAACTCTAACAGGCTTCCGGGTCTGCAGTCTCCTGAATGAGAAAGTGTGAAGAGGTTTTGCATCAGGAGTTTCAAGCCTGGTAAGATTTATGCGCAAGTCTCTCAGTATGTGGCCTCAGAGAGCACTAGCAAATGCTATTTTGCTTCACCAAAGATCTTCCGCCAGCAGAAGTTTCAGAAATACACAGAGAGAAGAAAATACTTGTAGCTGATTAGATGATATGCTGCCGAAAGTAGTCACAGACCAGGGTCCTACTGGACTGCCTTGTCCTTCACTGGGGGAGGGAGTGGAGACATAAAGAGAAACGTCATCCCTGCCGAGCGCCTCTGTGTCCTGTCTGCTGCAGGCCACCAAAGCCATTATGTGACCCCCGCCATTGGTGTCTTCTCCTTACTCCAGCCTCTTCATCCCCACCTCCCTCTCCCCGGGGCGCTTTCATGAATGACACTTTCATATCTGCCTGCTGCTATCACACCATCCTGACTTCACTTGGCAAGTCAGAAATTAGATCTTTGGGTCAATGTCGAAGGCAGAAGAGAGCAGCTTTTAAGTGAGGTCCACAGGCAACATGTTTCCAGTGTGACCAAGGAGGTGGCACTAATTACTCCACCATTTGAGGTCACCAGTGCTTACAAAATATTTGTTGAATACACGCACAGATGGAGTCAGGCAGGCATGGAAAGTGATGGCGCTTGCTCACTGGTTTTCACTGTCACTTTCTCATAACACATACATGGTGACAGTCAGACTTGGTGAGAAACTTAAGGTTACCTCATGAGATTTGTGCAACCTCTGCATCTTCTCAGACGTCCTAAGGATAGGGGAAATGTCATCCCACTTCCGTGATAAAATACTAGGATCCAGGGAGCTCTGAACTGCAGTTGCTCTCTGTCACCACTGAATGTGCTCAGATGCAAAGGCACCATGGGAGGGATTCACGTGGGAGCATCAGGCGGTCACTCTGCAAGGCCCCAGGAAGACTGGCTGGGGATGTGGCCCTGTAGCTTCCTATGTCACCCGTTCTCTGCAAACCCACTTCTTCTGGAGCTTCCTGAATGAACTCACAGAGCGTGGATTTCCTGGCTGGATAAAATGTCCACAGCTTTCTCTGAGCCTAATTATGAGTCCCTGCTCCTGCATTATTACTGCCTCGCATCTGAACCTCTGGACTGGGGCTGTACTGGAGGCCAAACACACACAGCACGCCCACCTTCTCTATATTAACACAAGTCTGAAGAAGGCTCCCTGACAGTGGTGGTGAACCCAGGGTGCATGTGCCGCAGTGGGCTGTCTGTTATCAAGGAACGCTCTAAAAGGTTCGCCATCCCTGTTCTATGATGTTTTCTTTCAAGTTTGGGTAACTGGAATACAAATGACTTCAAATGCAATGAAAATTACTTCCTGCTTTAGAAACTAAGAGAGGATAACAACCCTACAAGGATTCTGAAAGCAGGATCCTGTCACTTAGAGCTTGGTCTCTGTAGCTGTGTCGCGCACATTCACACCCAAACCCCGCCACACTCAGGATGAGTGATTTTAGGGACATCATGTGTATTCTTCGTGCTTTGGAATTTTTTATTCGTAAAATTAGGATAAAAATAATATCAACCTCATAAAGTTGCTATGCATGTTAAATGAGTTAAAATGAGCAAACTACCTGAGAACAGAGTAAGTATTATTATGATCCATCAAATATTGATTTCTCAGATTCTCTTTCCTTGGCACTGTGGTAGGGATCAAGGGAAGAGGAAAATGATTAATTGGGCATAAAGTGTGCCAGAGGGGAGAT